TGCAGAATATACATGCAATGTGCCTTCTGCAATCAAATAAACCTACTGGCAGGGGCGGACTGATAACTCATGGGGCCCCCAGGCAATAGGGGATCATGGGGCCCCTGTGTCCTTGCCCAAACTCAAAAAAGCCTATGAAAAAGGTACCAGGGGTATCTCATGGGGCCCTCTACTGACCCCGGGCCCTCGGGCAGTGCCCGAGTTTCCAAATGGTCAGTCCGCCCCTGCCTACTGGCCTGCTCGCAGTCTTCTATGGATTGTACACTGAGCTGACCAAGCACAGCTCAGTTTACATCACCTGTGTGACAGGATGACTACACAGCTGCGCATGCGCAGGAGTGATACCATCCTGGGCTGGCCAATGAAGATGGCCGCAGTATGGCAAGCAGAAGAAGTCAGAAGGAGGGGTAAGCACTGCGGAGTTTAGCTCCCCTTTAATAGATTTAATGTTCAGGCTAATGCAGGCTCCCATTCATGCCATAAGAATAAAGCTGAGTGTCTGTTTTTTTTTCCAATTAGATAGTTAACTACACTGATGCTGGATTCACACTATTACCTCTGCATGCAGCATGCCTAGTAATGCACATATGTGATTATGAAGGGGCCCATGGAGTTCTTATTTCTTAACTGCAGCACATCGATATGAACCAGCCCCATACAAAAGAAAGGGATTTCTGCTTGAAAAGCATTTTCATGCAGCAAAAAGCATCCATTTTACTGCATGAAAATAGACAAGCATGAGTAGCATCTATATATTCCCCAATATCCAGCAAGAGACAGCCCCCAATATCCAGCAAACGACATCTCCAATATCCAGCAAACGACATCTCCAATATCCAGCAAGAGACAGCCCCTAATATCATACAAGAGACAGCCCCCATATCCAGCAAGAGACAGCCCCCATATCCAGCAAGAGACAGCCCCCATATTCAGAAAGAGACAGCCCCAATATCCAGCAGGGGACAGCCCCCATATCCAGCAGGGGACAGCCCCCATATCCAGCAGGGGACAGCCCCCATATCCAGCAGGGGACAGCCCCCATATCCAGCAGGAGACAGCCCCCATATCCAGCAGGAGACAGACCCAATATCCAGCAGGAGACAGACCCAATATCCAGCAAGAGACAGACCCAAATATCCAGCAGGAGACAGACCCAATATCCAGCAGGAGACAGACCCAATATCCAGCAGGAGACCGTCCCAATATCCAGCAGGAGACAGACCCAATATCCAGCAGGAGACAGACCCAATATCCAGCAGGAGACAGACCCAATATCCAGCAAGAGACAGACCCAAATATCCAGCAGGAGACAGACCCAATATCCAGCAGGAGACAGACCCAATATCCAGCAAGAGACAGACCCAAATATCCAGCAGGAGACAGACCCAATATCCAGCAGGAGACAGACCCAATATCCAGCAGGAGACAGACCCAATATCCAGCAGGAGACAGACCCAATATCCAGCAGGAGACAGCCCCCATATCCAGCAGGAGACAGCCCCCATATCCAGCAGGAGACAGACCCAATATCCAGCAGGAGACAGACCCAAATATCCAGCAGGAGACAGACCCAAATATCCAGCAGGAGACAGACCCAATATCCAGCAGGAGACAGACCCAATATCCAGCAGGAGACAGTCCCAATATCCAGCAAGAGACAGCCCCCATATCCAGCAGGGGACAGCCCCCATATCCAGCAGGAGACAGCCCCCATATCCAGCAGGAGACAGACCCAATATCCAGCAAGAGACAGACCCAAATATCCAGCAAGAGACAGACCCCAATATCTTGCAAGAAACATCACCAATATCCAGAAAGAGACATCACCAATATCCAGTAAGTGGTAGTCCGATATCCAGCAAGAAACAGCCCGATATCAAGAAAGAGCCTGATATCCAAGCAGCAGCAGTAACAGCCAGGCAACCCCTATATCCATCCAGCAGCAACAATGACAAATAAACAATAACAAAAGCAATGTACTGAGTCTAAGCCAGACCGTGACCAATCAGGAGTCTCGGGAAGCAATCAGGAGTCTCAGCTCAGGATAGGATACTGCACGGTAGCTCCTCCTCACACCTGCCACTGGCAAGAAAGGAACATCCGGTCTGCTGCAGAGAGTGGCGGTGTGCAGCAGATATCAGTCTGCCTTTCACTCTCTTAAAGCTGCAGCTGGAACTATAGGAGCTGTTATTGGCTTCTCACTCCATGAGCCGGCTGCAGTATTAAAAATACTGTAAAAAAAAAAGGTTCTTCTCCCTGGTGGGAGGTGCCGAAATGCTATTCCGGGTCGTCCCAGCAGAAAAAAAGCCCAGATTTTAGTAAATAAAAAGTGCTAAATACCTTTTCTCTTCAGCAGTCTTCTGACTTCTATCAGTGTCCAGCAGAGCATTGCTTAAAGCTTGTAGGAGGAGTTTTCATTCTCCCTATGAGGACTCCTGACCCTCTGTCTGGATAGTGCCGATTGGCCCTCTGCTGATCACATGCACTCTCTCAAAAAAAAAAAATGTCTAGCAATACACACCAATCTGAGCATGTGCAGAGTGACTCCAAGCCTCTGTTCTATCAGGAGATATATTTGGGACGACAGAAGAAGAGGAGGATCAGAGAAGAGAGGATCAAACATCCTTTTTACACAATGCAGAGGATTACCCCTTAGGTTCCACAGTGAGTATAACAAGCATGCTTTACTGCATATACAGACTGATTTTACTGTTGTGGGTTTAGTAACACTTTAAATGAGCAGTTAACCCTTGCAGCGCGGACACAGCCCCATTGCAAAGAGGAATTTTTCAAGTTTCCCAAAGTTGGGCTTTAAAATGACTTTGTACTGTATGCTGTAGCATTAACAGTATCTTTCACTTGTCACACCTGAAGTCAATAATTTGGGGGGCGTCCACAAAGAATTGGCCATAGAATGTATGTGGTGATTCAGCTTGATCCACACAGGCAGGGTTCTAACTAACTGGGCTAGTATTTTACAGGCCTGGAAGTACAATGGGACTTGCCATCCACGTCAATAATAACAAAGATATCACGTGGCCGATAAAACTTTAAGATGGCGATATATTGATAGAAATTCGGCCAGGTCAGAAGGGACTGTCCAAATTTCGTTCCATGTATGGACACCCTGGTTGTACAGTCGATCTATCAATTGACTTGTGTACAACCAGCCTATTGGGTGTTTCTGAATGATTGGCGGCTATAGTTGGCAACACTAATTATTGTGCTCTGCCAACAGGGAAGGCTCCCCACTAGCAGAACACAATAGAGCTGCAGGAGGGATTACCCCATCCAACTGTGTTGATGGGGGAATCGAGCAATTTTTTTTCCTTCCGCCTGTGGTGGAAGGAAAGAAAATTGCATAATCTATAGTCTGCCTTAATGGAAGTTCAACTTTAAAGTGTTACTAAACCCAGAACAGAAAAATCAGTCTCTATATGCAGTAAAGCATGCTTGTTATATTCACTGTGGAACCTAAGGGGTTAATCCTCTGCAGTGTGTAAAAACGCAGTTTGATGCTGACTTCTATGCTCCTCCTCTTCTTTCAGTGTCCCCCTCTTATCTCCTGATAAGACATATTGTGTGGAGTCACTCTGCACATGCTCAGTTTGGTGTGTATTGTTTTTTTTTTTTCTTGAGAGAGTGCATGTGATCAGCACAGGGTCAATCAGGACTGTCCAGACAGAGGTCAGGGGTTCTGCATCCCCCTAGAGCAAAATGAAAACTCCTACAAGATTTAACCAGTGCTTGGACGCACACTGATAGAAGTCACAGGACTGATTCAACTGCTGATGAGAAAAGGTATTTAGCAGTTTGTATTTACTAAAATAATTGCATTTCCATGTTGTGTGTACTGTGGGAGACCAGATATAGTGAATGCAGGGTCCTGGGAGACCAGATATAGTGAATGCAGGGTCCTGGGAGACCAGATATAGTGTATGCAGTGTCCTGGGAGACCAGATATAGTGAATGCTGGGTCCAGGGAGACCGGATATAGTGAATGCAGGGTCCTGGGAGACCGGATATAGTGAATGCAGGGTCCGGGGAGACCAGATATAGTGAATGCAGGGTCCTGGGAGACTAGATATAGTGAATGCAGGGTCCTGAGTTTAGTAACACTTTAAAGTGAACTCAAGTCTACTCTCAGGAGAAAGCAGCAAATTTAGATCCATTTTAGTTTACAAGAGAGCTACTAAAGGCAGTCACCCTTATTTATTTTTGCACAAATGGGTGTGTATCAATTAATTGTTTTTTTTACAGATAACTCCTTTAAGTAATACTTTAGACTTAAAAGTACTAAGGGGAGACGAGACTGATAAAAGCAAGGTGATATTTTATTGTGTAATTTCTAATACAATTGAAAAAAAAACTAAAGAAAATCCTGCAAAGCCATTAAAAAAGTATTAGCCAATCAAGGAAACCCCCGTTTTACCAAATGAGACTGACATTCCCGGGTGGATTCCTTCTCTTTAGGTGTTCCAGGTGATATTGGCTTTTTTGTAATGCAGAGCCTCATGCAATTATAGCGCATGCTAGTGGAGCTGTTCTTTACTACAACAAGAGCCTAGAAAGTAAAAAGATTAATGGTCCGTCTGTTCTTTTAGATATACAAAAAAATATGCAAAAAGAAAAAAAAAGGAGAAAGAAACAATGAACAGCATCTCACGGTTACAAACTATATTGTGCTATATAGTGGTATAAAAAACATCTTGGTAAGAATGGCACTGAATCCGTTCTAGGTTCCTCCCATTCCGGTATACAATAGAGGGCGCAGCTGGCCCACTGCGGGACCTGCTCTGGTGCCCAGGAGTGGCACCAATGAGGAAACCTCTGAACTCATTCCTCCTGTCTGCTTCCATCACGCAGTCCAAATGGTGGAGGACTCTTTGTGGCTCCAATAGGACGCTGGAGAAATCCCCCTGCACCAGATTCTGGGGCTTTGAATAACCCCTGGGCCACATGTACTTCCCCTTTAATACTGGCAGAGTCCATAGTCCTGCTTATGACTCCTCTTCCCCTGTAGAAACGGTCAGTCGCATTGCTACTGGCACGTGGTCTGTAAGTCCAGCTAGTTGTGTGATAAAACTGTACTCTTCAACCTCCTAGGAGAAGAAGAAATATACAGACAGGATTTATGAAAGAATGCATCTGGCCTTTAAAGTTCAAGTTCATCTTTCTCACATTTTTCAAGTGTTAAAGCATGACCCCTTCTTAAATATTTGTACTGCAGCACCTTATTATGAGTGCATGTACACTTACAGTTTTCTCTTAGCCCCCCTGCAAGGCCCCCTCAAATACCTGTTAAGACTGCCAGTGAAGTCTATCTAATTCAGCTTCCTATGATTGCGTGGCAACAATGCTGCACTGCTCGCGAATTCAGAGCAGAGTTGCCACTCTCATGTAGGCTGTGTCTGCTTGCATTACAATGGCATAAAAAATGTCAATTATCACTGCCAATTCACAAGCCTGTAGCTTATCAATCAGCTCCTAACCACACCTTGTCCTGCTCACTGTGTTCTGGGTTAGCAGCACTGGCTTTGTTGCTGAAACCCTCCCACTGTGAACTGCAGTGTCTGGGAGGGGGAGTGTGTGAGACACAAACGAGGGAGGATTTGACTGAGAGAGGGTAAAGGAAGTTTTTGTTATTATTTTGGAGGCTTGTGTATCACAAAGTAACTGGATTTGACACTTTAGACTGTCATACAGGAGCCTTTAGTTGTACTTTAACCTATTTGGTGTGAATTTAAATAAAAATAATATTTAAGAAAATTAATATTTCATTACCTCTCTTTCTTCTTTTTATGACTGCTCACCTGTTATGTCTGTCTGGGCAAAGCTGAGGACTTACATTTACTTAGAAGGCAACTTAAGTAGGCGCCTAGGACTTGGCAGATGCCTAGAAGGCCACCTACAGCCTTCATGTTCCTGCAGTAAACTAGGGGATAGCACAGCTGGTCAAAACTGTGCACCTATATGTCACTTTAGAAGGTAAGCTGTACTTGTAGGCAATTGGCTTTTGATGAGCCATGCTACATATAGAGAATGTAGTTTAGGTGGCTTCTTTGTGCTCTTTGCAATTCTCATGAATATCAGTTGAAGGGATGAGGGAGCCAAAGCCACCACATTGCCTAAGACTTCATTCTGCCTTAATGTGTTTCCGCTCCTGGCCTGTGAAGTTTCCAAGTTTTATGGGTTGCCAGTAATCTGTACATAAAAAGGCCCCTGTATGTAGAGAACAAGAACTTTAACCTGCTCATATGTGGAAGGCAGAAAAAAAAAAAAGAGTAGCAGTACAGGGAAGTTTGAAGAACAATGGAGTTGATATATGAAAACTGGAGAGTGCAAAATCTGGTGCAGCTCTGCATAGAAACTAATCAGCTTCCAGGTTTTATTGGCAAAACTTAATTGAACAAAGTTAGACTGAAGTTACCTGAAGTTAGAAGCTGACTGGCTACCATACACAGCTGCTCTAGATTTTGCACTCTCCAGTTTTAGTAAATTAACCCCAATATTTCCATTTCTATTCTGCTCACAAAACACTTGGATCATAGAAAATTATATATACAAAGTTGTGTGGTGAATTTCAAATGATCTATATTTAAGGTTCATTTTAATATAATAGCCCATGGGAAACAGCTTACTGATGGATCATGTAGAGTGTCACATGCCACCATCAATCTGCCCTAGAAGTTATTAACATGGAGACCTTTTTATCCCTTACAGCCACTTAAAGTGTATTTATATTTGTTTGTTTGGAAGGTGAGGTTTAAAACCTCGATCAGCTTTTTATTGCTATTTATGTCCCAACCTGGGAGATTCATATTCTCTGTTTGTCCTGGTGATCTTTGTCCTTGGGTTAGAAAGTGATAGAAAATACAAAAATGTCACCAGAGCAAGAGGCGAGGGTAAGTCTTACTTAAAACCAACAATATACATCCATTAAAATATTGAAAGACAACAATCATCCTATCAGCAGTTAGTTATATAATTCCTAGAGAGGTAAAGACCTCTTTAAGCAGTTACATCTTGTTATCTATGCACTATCCATGTGTTCTAGAGAAACCCTCTGAACAGTACCTGGACCAAACAATGTGTAAAAAAACACATGACTGAATGTTTATGGCCATGAGTGATATTGGACCACTTACCATTTTCCACTCCATATTGAGTCCCTCTTCAGAATACAACATATAGTCAATCCTTCGTCCACTACCCTTCAATGGAACCTTCCTTCCCTTCTGGTTGGGGCAATGGTTCTTGCTGGTGGGATATACCAGATATTCCTTTCGACCCTCCTCATTTTCCAGGACCCTGGAAAGCAGAGAAATTTAGTATGCCCCCAAGGTTGTATAGGGTCATACAAATAACAGATATTTTTATTTTGATATGAAGACACAGCAAAATACTAAAGATTTTATATATTATCAGTTCTGTTGACCTGTGATGTTGCTCACAAGTGTCAACTAACAACCTTCTCTTCTGGCTGTAAGGATGTTAATTCATGCATTTTCCGTTATAGATTCTATGCTGTAACAATTTCATCCTATAGCCACTTTCATCTAGTAAAATGGAATGAGCATTGTGGAGGAGACAGATCAGCAGATTTATAAAAATGACTATTGGGGCACTACCAGGGCAGAGTCTGGCTACTATGGAGGAGGTCAAGGATGTAGTGCAGAGAGCTTTGTGTCAGCTTGGCTATGAACTACACTAGGTGAAAGTCTGGGGGTAAGACTTGCTCCTTTAAATTATGAGAGTTTGGGCAGAAAGATGTGGGGTTACTTAGACTTTAGTTTGAACCTGTGTATTGTATTCAAGGAAATTCAACATTATTTCTCATTGGTTGCTCATTATTTCAGAGACAGTCTGTTGTTGAGGTTTTTGTATCAGAAACAGCCAGGTATAGCACTGTATTTGGTGACCACAGATAACACTTGCATACTTCTTTTATAGCAGGGGTAGTGAATTAAATTCACAGAGGTCCAGTCAGAAAAATAATTATTATACCAGAGGTCTGAATTGCATGTTTGTGCGATGACTCAGATCCTTCACATCACAGCCACCCTCCATATTACAATTACCTTCTTACATCAGTGTCCTCCGCAACCCCTGTACATCACAGCCCCTTCACATCATAGTCCCCTCATTTATATCACAGACCTCAGCCCCCTCTTTACATCAAAGTCCCTCTTTCATGTCAATGTCCCCCTTCATTGCATTTTTTTATGCCCCCCTACACATCCCATCCCTTTCACAAGTGTCCCCAGCCCCCTTAACATAACACCTCCCTGTCACAACAGTGTCCCCAGTCCCCCTTCATAACACGGGGGGTGTTATGATAGGGGGGTGGGGGGGGGTTACACAACAGTGTCCCCAGCCCCCTTTCACAACACCCCACCTTCAGAACAGTGTCGGCAGCCCTGCCTCCATTCAAAACACCCATCTGCACAACAGTGTCCCAAGCCCCCCATCACAGTACGCCACCTTCACAACAGTGTCCCAGCCCCCCATCACAGCACGCCACCTTCACAACAGTGTCCCAGCCCCCCATCACAGCACCTCCTCTTCACAACAATGTGGCCAGCCACCCTTCAAAACACCCCCCTGAAAAACAGTGTCCCAAGCCCCCCTTCACAGTATTCCACCTTCACAACAGTGTCCCTAGCCCCCCTTAACCCCCCCCTGCACAACAGTGTTGTGAAGGTGGAATACTGTGAAGGGGGGATTGGGACACTGTTGTGCAGGGGGGTGTTTTTAAGGGGGGCTGGGGACACTGTTGTGAAGGTGGAATACTGTGAAGGGGGGCTCAGGACAGTGTCCCCAGCCCCCCTTAAAAACACCCCCTGCACAAAAGTGTCCCCAGCCCCCTTCACAGTATTCCATCTTCAAAACAGTGTCCCCAGCCCCCCTTAAAAACACCCCCCTGCACAACAGTATCCCCAGACGCCCTTCAGAACACCCCCTTCACAACAGTGTGCCCAGCCACCCTTCAGAACACCCCCTTCATGACAGTGTGCCCAGCTGCCCTTCAGAACACCCCCTTCACAACAGAGTCCCCAGATCCCTCTTAACTTTACACCCTCCTACACAACAGTGTCCCCAGCCCCATTCACAGCACCTCATCTTCACAACAGTGTCCCCAGCCCCCTTCAGAACACCCCTTTTCACAACAGAGTCCCCAGCCCCCCTTCACAGCACCCCACCTTCACAACAGTGTCTCTAGCCCATCCCCCCTTCAAAACACCCCCCTACATAACAGAGTCCCCAGCCCTCCTTCAGAACACCCTCTTCACAACAATGTCCCCAGCCACCCTTCACTGCACCTCACCCCCACATAACACCTGCCCTTCACAACAATGTCCCCAGCTCCCTACCTTACACAGAGTGGAGGATGGGTGGTGCAGCACGTTTGGATGGACGTCAAAAGCTGGCCAACCTTTTATGTTAACAAGCCAGTGATTGGTTGCTAAAACTGCCCTATGTTTTCTAGCAACCAATCTTCAGCTTGTTAACTTAAAAAAGTTAGTTTGGGCAGCTGCCACCCTCTGTCCAGAAGTGCCATCCTTCCCGTCCTTTGTCCTGCAGCTGGGGGGGATGAACAAGCAGACGGATCTACAGGGTAGCCAGACAAGAGAAAGACTAGACTCCTAAGTGGCACAACCTCTTCGGTTCAGATAGCACTGTCACTTGGTTCGAATCTGGACCACGATCCGCCATTTAGTGATGTCTGGCTTATAGGATTCATTTGCATTTCAAATTATAGATTTAAAAATACTAATGTAAAGTGCCATGGGAAATTCTGAGATGAAAGAAATAGACCCAACTTGCAGGAAAAACAAAGGTATTTGGCTCTGAAGATGATCAAAATTGAAAACCAGGGAGGGAGATTTCTGTGGCCGAAATTTCTGTTATTTTTATCAGAAAAAGAAAAAATGTGCAAGTGTGAAGATTCATCAGGGGACAAATTTTCACATCCTAGGGCTATCCCTTCAAATCAGAGATATTGTCTTAGCTAATATGTTTTACTCTAATACCCCCTCCCCCCCCGGTATCTCTGTATCTCTGAAGTACATGCACATTTTTCTATGTTTTATGAATTTAAAATGCTTCCAGTATAGAAAAAATCCCTCTTAATCCAATGAGTTCCTAAATTCCTCTTGTGGGCTGACAACAAAATGTTGCCTCTGCTGCCCTGAGATCCCAAGCAGCATTGTCAGCTTCTGGACTAGAGTACTCTGCCTAAACCTGGAGATCTTTGTCCATCTCTATATTCATACATTGATTTCTCTCACAGAAAAACAAAGCTGCTGCCTTGACTCCTAAGAACTTGTCCACAAACTGTGTGTAGGGAAATGGTTCTTGGAGGATGTAGTTCTGGGGGGCATCTCTACGTCAAATGGAACTGACCTTGGGCACCAAGCTGATCCCCCTTCCCAGTCATCGGAAGCAATAAAAGCTGTTTCTTAGTACAACAACATGGTAAAGGAAACACTGAGTGCTTAGACATGATGTAGAGTGGGACAGGGAGGTTTGGGGGTACGTTTTGGTCATGCCTGGAGACCAGCTGTAAATAAAGAGAGATGGCTAAAGGGTTGTATATGAAGGCATGTGTAAGGCTACGAGAGCCCCTGATGGCTACTCAGTTTTAATCATTCTTTTTGAATAAATAAGCTTACTACTAATACTCTGTGCAAAAATCAACATTAACCACTTCCAGTCCAGACACTTTCACCCCCTTCCTGTCCAGGCCAATTTTCAGCTTTCAGAGCTATCACACTTTGAATGACAATTGCGCAGTCATGCAACACTGTACCCATATGAAATTTTTAGCATTTTTTTGAGACAGATAAAGCTTTATGTTGGTGGTATTTATTCACCACTGGGATTTTTTTTTTTTTTTTTTGCTATATAAAATGAAAAAGTCCTACATTTTTTAAAAAAAAGTGTTTTTCTTATAAAATGTTGTAAATAAATAATCTTTCTTCATAAATCTTGGCCAAAATGTATTCAGTTATCTTTTTAGTAATAAAAAAATAACCCAAATTAGTTTATAACCAAAAATTATAAGTTTTGAAAAAATTTTTAACATTTTTTTTTTTTTTTTATTATTATTTTATGGGTTTTTTTTACATACTGTCACCCTAGCAGTACTTGTGGGGGTTATGAAGATTTTTTTTTTTTTTACACTGATTGTTTTTACACCCATAAAGGCTGTAAAAGCAATAATTTCTCCTTCTCTCTGGCTGCATTCCTGCAACCATTGAGAAATACTGTGAGAGCTGTGATTGGTCACAGCTTGTCACATGGTACAAGGCTGTTGTGAATGGCCCTGTACCATGTGATCTCTGTGATCATTCACAGATTTCACTAGTAGTAAGCAATGATGTCAAAAGTGACATCTTGCTTAATACTATTCATGTGATCACTGATTGGCCAATCAGTGATCCCATGATCGGGTCCTCAAACAGAGGTCCCGTACAACGATCGGTGTTCCACTGTGTTCGGAGGACACAGCGGGCACCTGATCACGGTGCTGCGCACTCCCAGGGAGCGGGGCCCACAAGTAGGGGGCGGGGAGGCCCCTGCATGGTTAAAAAGCCATTTATTACCAACATTATTAGGCACAGGGTTTACTAGAGTTTGAATAAGTACTAAAAAAGGAGGAGTATGTTTGTTTTTTAGTGTAAGCTTTTTATAGCCAACCTGGGTCTGTATACCCTACCAATGTTTAGCCTCTTCCACCAACCCACTCATATATACAATCACGCCATTGCCTCTCTATCATTGTATGAAAATCACTTACTTTTGCAGATTGTCCGGGGTGCACACCTCCTCATCGTACAGACCTTCTGGGTCCAGGAGTGTTCCTGAAAAGCATACACAAACATTAAAGCAATTGAATGCAATCTGAAGCTATTGTGTTGGTCTGGTGCTCACAGGCGGCTTGCTGTAACCTGCTCTATAATCATTGCCTACTTAATAGCACTTCAAATTTCCAGACAGCCAATCTCAAAAGTGGGCAAACAAACATCCCCCGCCACTCAGACATGGCCTGACATGGAAGGAATACCAAGAATGAGCTTTAAAGGACAATTCTACTGCAATGGATACGGTGTACTTGAGTTTCCTTAAAGGGAATATATAGATGTATGGGCCCATACCAATTATAAGCTGGTATTCTTAACGCCTCTAATGGCGCAGCACTTTAAAGTTGTAGTAAAGTAATTTTTTTAACTTGTACCTACAGGTAAGCCTCTAATAAGGTAGGTACAGAGAATATCTACTAAACGTGCATGGTTTAGGAAATATTCACACTGCATGCACCTGGTGACATCACCGTTGCATGCAGTGAAGGGATGGCATACATGTGCCACGTGCCAGACTTCCGTGCCACGGGCGAATCTTGTGTCGCCACGCCGGTGCGGCTCGTTCGGTCAGAAGGTGACAGTGTGCTGCTGGAGGGCTTCGTTCTAGGGTAAGTAGTTCATACTGTGCTAGTATGCAATGCTCACTAGCACATTATGCCATTCCCATATGGAAGAAAAATATATTTGAAATATATTTTAAAAATACTCTTCCCAAATATATTCCCATATATTTGAAATACTACAATTTTGGCCATATTCAATATAATATATATATATATATATATATATATATATATATATATATATTCTGTATGTTGAAATGCGAAACAAATCTGAAGAATATATTTAAAAAATATATATTTTTAAAAAAATGTACCGTATTTTTCGCTCCATAAGACGCACCTGACCATAAGACGCACCTAGGTTTTAGAGGCAGAAAACAGGAAAAAAAAATTCTGAACTAATGGACTGCAGACATAGTACAGGGACCAGAGACTGCGGACAGCATGACCAGAGAGACTGCGGACAGCACAGGGATGACCAGAGACTGCGGACAGCACAGGGATGACCAGAGACTGCGGACAGTACAGATGACTGCTGACCTTTGGGGAGGTGGGGAGCGGGTACCTGAATTTGACAGGTACCCGCTCTTACTTCTGCAGAGTTTTTGTTTGATCTTACCTGTTCCTCGATCCAGCCGCTTCCCGGCTTCTGTAATGGCGCTCGGCATGACAGCCGGGTGCCCAGTGCGCATTAGCGAGAAGCACTTGCGCTTTGTGATTGGTCCGGCGGCTTCTGGGATCTGTCATGTGTCCCAGGTACCGCCTTACCATTCACAAAAAGCACCGCTTCTTGCGCATGCGCATTTGGCACCCGGCTGTCTTGCCCAGTGCCCACACTACAGAAGCCGGGAAGACAGCGCGCCGCTGGATAGAGGAACAGGTAAGATCAAAGAACAAAGAAGTAAGAGCGGGTACCTGTCAAATTCAGGTACCCGCTCCCCACCTCCCCAAAGGTCAGCAGTCCTCTCCATAAGGTCCCGCTGTAGAGCTGAGCGGCCGGCCCGGTATTCTGCACGGTGGCGGTGGAAATACCGGACCGGCCGCTCTATATTCGCTCCATAAGACGCACTGACATTTTCCCCCCTTTTTTGGGGGGAAAAAAGTGCGTCTTATGGAGCGAAAAATACGGTATATAAAAAAAGTAATTTTAACATATATTTTTACATATATTTGTAAATGCATTCCAAAAATGTAGATGTGTATTTTAAAAGACATACAGTATATTTGAAATATATTTTTAAAAATATTTTTTCATATATTTTGTAATAAAAACGCATTTCAACATGCAGTATATTATATATATATTTTATTGAAATATATTTTGAAATATATTGAAAATGGCCAAAATTGTAGTATTTCAAATATATGGCAAAATATTTGCGAAGAATAGTTTTAAAATATATTTCAAATATATTTTTCTTCCATGTGGGTTGTCTTGCAGGTTTAAAAAAAAAAAAAAAAAAAAAAAAAAAGTCACAGTTTACCACCACTTTAAGTGGGCTTTAATGCCTAGGATGGCTTCTTTATCGTATGACCAGTGTTATCGTCTCACAAGAATGTCACCAGCACACCATGGATCTCCAAAATGGGTCCAAAACTTTAAAGTGTTACTAAACCCAGGACCCTGCATTCACTATATCTGGTCTCCCACAGTACACAGAACATGGAAATGCAATTATTTTAGTAAATATAAACTGCTCAATACCTTTTCTCATCAGCAGTTAGAGCAGTCTTGTGACTTTTATCAGTGTTGGCAGAGCACTGGTTAAAGCTTGTAGGAAGAGTTTCTTTCTGCTCTTGGAGGATGCAGAACCCCTGACTTCTGTCTGCACAGTGCTGATTGGCCCTGTGCTGATCACATGCACCCTCCCAAGAAAAAAAAAACAACCTCTCTAGCAATACACACCAAACTGAGCATGTGCAGAGTGTCTCCACACAATATGTCTTATCAGGAGTTAAGAGGGGGAATACTGGAAGAAGGGCAGGATCAGAGAAGACAGGGTCAAACAGCCTTTTTGCACAATGCAGAGGATTAACCCCTTAGGTTCCACAGTGAGTATAACAAGCATGCTTTACTGCATATACAGACTGATTTTACTGTTGTGGGTTTAGTAACACTCTAGGCACTGATCACATCATCTTTGCTTCCAGCCGATGGTCGCTGCAGCACCCATTTACATACACAGCCACTTCTGCTGCAATCGTTGTTTTTGGCTCTGACAATGGTCACATGAAATCTGGGCCGATGCCCTCCTAAAATATCCATCTTACAGAATAAGATGCAACAAATACAGCAAAAGAACTCTATGGGAAATTAAAAAAAGTAAACGCGCTTCACACCATATCAGCGCTTAACTGTGACATATGGAGTCATGATTAGGCATGAAATGCGTTTACTTTTCATTTAATTTCTCATTTCCTAGTGTCAGTTGCTGTACTTGTTGCTTTTATGCTGTAATAAAGACGGATATTTTTTGGAGTGCATCAGTCTGGATTTTTGGAGTTCACACTATGTCTGGTCACTGATGCTCTTTCTCCTTGGGCAGGGTCACTAGCCTTGTCTCCACCCCTTCTTTAATTTCTACAGGCTGCCTCTAGTAGACCTTCTGGGTAACTCCCACAGCTCTGCTCTCTGCACAGGCCACAGCCCAGTGATGATGTCACCACTAGTTTTACAGGGTAAAAACTGGGTTCGCAAAGGCATTTGATGCACATAAACAGAATTGATTTCTGAACATTACTGAGCAACAGGGATGATGGCACTCCAATGACAGGTGCAATCTTCTTTGTTTCACAAAAATGGAGTACAACAGCCAGATGAGATCACATTGTAACCAATTTTAATGAAGTAAAGAAGATCGCATCTGACATTGCAGCACCGTCATCCATCTTTTTCTGATAATTTTCATCTCAATAATGAGCTGCACTTGCACCCTGCAATTGCAGACAAGCGTGGACCAACCTGGAGCAGTGGTGCTTGTTAATATATTACTGAGAGACAGGTTTGCCAAAGTTTAGTCACATATACAATATAGAGGGGTTGGACAAAATTATGGAAGCACCAGGGAAAAGAACAAAATTGTTACCTAATATGGGTTGGACCGCCTTTGGCATCCAAGATGGCCTGAATTCTCCTGGAAATTGACAAATATAAGTCTTGGATGGTAGATAATGGAATCTGATACCACTCATTACGCAAAAATCGTTCCAGTTCTTGCAGAGATGCCAAAAGTGTTAAATGAGCCTGAATCTTGTTCTCCAAAATTGACCACAGTGGCTCTATGAGGTCCGGCGGCTGTGGCGCACAGGGAAGGTGCAAGGCTTTGTCTGCATGCTCATCAAACCACAATTTGACAACACCAGCTGTGTGAATCGGAGCATTATCGTTTTGGTAAATGGCGCTTTCTTCAGAACAAAATGTCTGCACCATGGGGTGCAAAACGCCGGCCAACATTTGTACATAGTCACCGGCAGTGATTCTACCTTTCAAGGTGATGATGGGGCCTGCAGAATACCAAGATATGGCTGCCCAAACCATGACTGCACCACCACCATCCTTTACCGTTGGCACAAGATGGTCCTGGTTGTAAGCTTGGGATGGTGTTCACCACACGTAAACATGTTCATTGGATGGTGAAGCTCAAATCATTGGAACATATTACAGTCTTCCATTGATCGATAGCCCACAATTTACGGGTGTTGCACCACTCTCTCCTCTTCTGAGCATTGATATCCGTCACTAGTGGTTTGGCAATTGCAGTTTGCCCATGTATGTTTTGCTTGTGGAGTTCCTTCCATACGGTTTTTGTAGACACAGGCTTTGGAAGACTGAGATTGAGCTGTGCAGTCACATTTGCAGCAGTTGTTTTCTTATTCCAGGTCACAATCCTGCGCAATGTCCTTTTGTCTCTTTCGGTCAGTTGACCATGTCAACCGCGTCTATGCTTATCAGACATTTTCCTGGAAACTGTACATGCTGTCATACTGTACCTCATGTCATGTCATGTCATGCTGTCATACTGTACCTCACCACATGGCAAATAAATTGGCAACTTCAGTCAAAGAGGCACCAGTGAAGCAGGCACCAACAATTTGACCTCTTTGAAGCTGAGTAAGCTCTGACATGACTCCATATTACTAGCAGCGCACAAAGTGAATGATGAAAGTGAGGCTTCCCACGTGTTAGCTAGGTGTCTCATCACACAGTGAAAACCAAAGAATGTTATGTCACTTTCGCTTTCAACGCAAAACATTTTGTCTCTATCACACCTGCAAATCATGTAGTGTTTCCATGTTTTTTTTGTCCAACCCCCTCTATCTGCCAAAGCTGTTTTTTAATTCCCTTTTCAAATGAAATTTAAACCCTACATTTTCATTGCCTTTTGAATAATAAAATCAATCGTACCCGTCTAGACAAAGAGCACCTAAATTACCAGTTTGATGGTCACTTGCAATATGTAGATTTGCCTGCAGGTGGCACTGGTAGAAAACAATAATGTCTTCCTTCTACTATGTCTCACCTATTGCCCATGGCTTCTCTTCTCCAGGACTGAGTCTGCATGGATCCTTATAATGTGTAAACAGGCTGTGCTGCTGCTCCAGCTTATCTTCTGCACAGAAAACAAAGGTTATGAACACAGTGCTAGTTGTAAATGATTGCTATCAAATGAGATCTGGACACTCTTCATGTGCACACATATCCCCAAATCAAAAAAATACATTTAACACCTTGACAGTTAAAATTCTTAAAAATATATTAGTATCTTATCGGTAAGATAACCATAGTGTATGTGATCAGTGCACTGAATCCCCCATGTGATAAGAGTTTTATCAATCACAAGGCATCTGTGGGATAGCGGCTAGGACACAATAATATGCAGGGAAATATTTAAGGGATTAACATGTTTTACTGATCACTGGACACCTGTAGGTCAATTCATCAACTGAGCTACACTGTCAGGGTACAGAGGCTGCTGAGAGGAAACACAGCTCAGGTAATATATACAATCTCCTGTCTCTATCCAGGCACTTGTTAAAGTGGTTCTAAAGCAAACACATATATATATATTTTTTTAATCTTAATCTTAATGCATGCAAAAATGTTTTATTTTATAATTATAATCCTAAAACACTTACCCAAATCTTGTATTGATCCAGCGTTGTTCCTTTCTTAGGTTCTTCTCTTTTTTTTTCTCTTCTCACAAGAGGATCAGGCAGCAGCGGGAGCCATCCTGTGAGAAGGGGGAGCGGGGGGAGGGACAGAGCTGCACAGTGTGTGCCTATGGACACACAGAGCCCGGCTCAGGAATGAGCCTGCATATCTGCCCCAAGGGGCTTCTATGGAAGCAGACATAGACGAGGAGGAGCCAAGATCACTGGGGGGGAACCCTAGAAGAGGAGATTTGGACCATTGCACAGAGAAGATAGATAAAACATGTTTATTATTTTAATAAAAATTAAAAGAATGCCTTTATAAATTCTTTAAAGAGTAACTCCAGTTAAAAAAAAACATTCCTCTCTCAGTGATCTATGTACATTGCACAGATTTGAACAAATTCCTGCCTTTTTCTTATTCTGAAGAAATAGCTGTTTGTTTTGTCTGTGTCCATGTGCCGAGTGAATCTGTACGGGAGCAGTTTTATAATTATCAATCAACTGCTGCACCTGCAGGGCTCTAATGAGGAAAGTGACAGGGTCAGCATCTTTTTAGAATTGATTTCTCTTTGGGAGTATCTAATCAAAAAATATTTTTTTTGTTGCAGGGGATGCCCAAAATCTGACTTGTGACTTAGTGCAGACTTCTGGGAAAATCAATGAACCAATCAGATAAGCAGGAAATGACATTTCTGGGGGAGTTCGGTACATCATCTGTGGTATCCATATTGCATTGCATTTTACAGAAAATAACAGCTCTACAAATTGGCAGGGAAAGGTAATTTATAATAACATTCAATTCAGTATGACTTGTGTAGCAATTGTATACACTATGTTATTTTTTTTAATTAATTTTCCCCACAAAAGTGGAGTTACCCTTTAAAGCTGCATTTCAGATATGATCTGTATTGCATACTTACATTGATCCAGCATGGCACAAAGTAGGTATGCATATTTCATACCTTAGGGGCAAGCTGACAATCGCTGTAGTAATTGGCACTACTACAATCATAGCTACGATCTTCTGGGTGCTGTGTGAGGTGGAAAGGAGAGTCATGTGAATGGCAGCACTGGTGAGTGATCAACCCCCTGTATTCAGTCTGTAGTGGGGAAGTGCTCACTAGAGGCTTTGTGAAGCCTTAGGCAAAACTTAGACATGAGGCCCCACTCAAGCCCATAATGGGAAAAATAATTCAGGTGACAAAAATTAACTAGGGGATGGGTAAGGCAACCATTGGCAGAGTGGGGCTAACAATTTATGTGTGCTGTAACCCTAACTCTCTCCTTTGTGTTACGCCCGGAAGGGGGGGGAGGGGTAGATGGAGGGTGGTAAAAAAGTCAATTACAGGTTTGCAGCATCTCACAGCTGACAGAGCAAATACAGTAGATACCAACCGCAGGCCGAGATATGAGATGCAGCCGCACTGCTATGACTCCCCTAACCCTTCATCTGTCGCATTGATAATGCTGTCCTGTAGAGCGCCCTTCATTGTAGGCCCATGGGACACAGCATTTTACATTGGACAGGGCACATTGTATGGGACAGACTGTTGGACACTGTGGGAGACACAGCTTGGCACAACACGGTACCGGCTTCCTTCTTCTTCTACCCGGCTTCAGAGGTGGCTTTCAACAGTTCTCCAGTGGCGTGCTGTTCCCCGCCGGCCCCTCCTCCTATCCTATCCATCCCAGATGATGTCACATACAAGCACCCAGGATGGACAGGAAGGGAGGGGGGTCTGGCGGGGAACAGTGCATTACACAGCCAATAGTATGCCAGCCTCTTCCCTGCATGTTTGTCCATGCGATCTACCTGTCAGCTGCCTGCAACTGACAGGTAGATTGGCACAGAAAATCGGTTGAGTGACAATGCGTTAGGCAAATTAGGTGCCCACAAGGCCCCTGTGAGCTGGAGGCCTTAAGCGACTGCCTAATTTGCCGAATTAAAGAACCGCCTCTGCTGCTCACACAGAACCTGGAAGATCAGGACTAAAACTGTAACCCCCTAAGGTACGAGATGTGTACTTATATTGCACCAAGTTTCACAAACAATAAATATCATACCCAAGCTAAATGATAATGTCTAAACAAGAGACAGCACCACAATTCTGGTAGCTCTTTCCTGTGTTTTTTAGGATCATGGAAAATACAACACAATTCAATTGATCTTGTATGGAAATCAACCATCAACCCAGGCATATCTTGACCACCACAGTCTACAAAGATTATTAATGCAGTCTTGTGTGTTCCACTCCTGAACTGTGATAAGAATCTTGGCTTAAGTAATAAGCTTTAGGAAGATGGGAGGAAGTCAATATTTCTCTTGTGCTTATTTTATCCTTCGTCCTCATTATGCTGAGAATGGCTATGAAACCCTTCAGCGCCCTTAGCATCCACAGAAGGCAGAATGCAGCAATCAATGACATGATCATTTACTGGCATAAAGAATACACTAAGGACCTTTCTTCGAATGCTTTCATACCTGATGAGCAATTGTCAAAGTTGAGGTCCCCACAAATAACATCAAAGGCCACCAGCTCCTCCGGATTTGCGGCACTGGAGGAGGAGGTAGATTTGCGGAATTCAGACGCCCACTCCTGGAGAAAGTCTAGCTGCTCACATCGGATTGTTGCATCCCCTAGAAAATGAAACATTTATAATTTATTCTCAACAAAATCCCAACATTACCAGCAAGTAAAATGACCATATATAGTGAATAGTAAAATACTATCACTATCAGGATAACAGGTCCACAGCGGTCAATATAACAATAAAAAAAGTGCAGTGATTCACAGCAATCAATCAAAAGGAATCCTCTTAAGATGAGTGGTCTAGACTGATTTACAGTATGTTGTCACTGTCTTATGCCCTGCTTGAACCATCCCTAGAAGTAGATGCTGTCCCTGGATGATACCTAAACAAAGATGGTGCCAGCCCTCTTTTTATAAAGAACGATGAAAGCCATGTTATGAGGAATACTGTGATCTCTATGATGCATAATACATATCTGCAATTACTGTTCTTACAAATTACTTATCTGATGTGAAGTTTCCTTAAAACGGAGTTCCCGCCTTTTTTTTTTTCTCCCTTGAAAGACAACGGTCTCCCTCTTCACAGTCCGTTTTGGCAATACATATGTAGATTTATTTTTCCTAAATACCTTTTATTGGTATTTTCTGTCTCCACGTTCGGTCCCGGCCGCTTAGGCGATTACATCATCAGGCATTCCCTAGGGCTTCTGGGATATCGGCGTCACCTATCCCAGCAGTCGTAGGGAATGCCTGATACCAAAATTTTGCGTTATTATGAGACCGGAAGTGATGCGATCGCTGGAATTTCTTCACACTGCGCAGGTGCTAGATCGCTCCTTCTTCACACTGCGCAAGAGCGAAACGGGAAGTGCATGCTGGGTAGCCAGCTGCACAATTTCCCGGAAGAATGTCTGAGAGAGCTTCAGGTGCCCACACTTAAGATGACAGTGTTCACAATATGAGGGTGCAGTAAGTAAATGTATTTTTTATAAGGCAAACAAAAGATTACAAGTACAGGTGATCTCAATTTGCATTGCCTAAGCTGCCACTCTCATGTGGGTGCCTTTAGAAAAAAAAAAATAATGAAACGGCTGGAACTCCCTTTAATAGACACCAGTAGGGACACTCTCCAATAAGTAGGCAACATTGGGACATAACTATTATCTAGACTTATACAGTAAAATAGTTCCTGCTTTAACCTGTTGTCTGTCAATATATAGGAGATCAGACAAATCTTGCACTATTTGATATATTCTTAGTCATAGATGAGTCAGTAGGCCACATAAACTGCGGCCCTCCCATATTGACCTGTTTCCCAGTTCCAGGTCTGATCTGTCCAGACCACACACAAATAGAAACCATGAACATCACTCAGATGGTTCACTGTTCATTTTTCACATGGAAAACTCAAACAAAGTCACAGCACAGGGCCGCTAATGTAAATACACATCGAAATCATCCATCACATATTAACCAAACACCACTGTTGGCTTTGCAGAGCACTGTAACTGCACATCACTGGATCCTGATGTGAAATTTATGACTCTTCTCTTCATGTCCAGTAAAAAGCAGAGACAACTTTCTAATAAACATTAGCAGGATAGCTGTGCACAGTCTTAATGGCTGTTAAACGCTGCAGATTCTCATGTCTGTATATTGTATATCTACATTATTTATACAGTACATATGACATATACTACATACAATATATCACATATAACTAACATGTCACCGTGTGCAACTGTGTACAAAAATTAAAATGTTCTTAATTTTATGTAACAATGTGGTGTGTTAGATATTTTTTTTTTTTTTTTTGGAAACTGGAATTTTTATTCTGTTGCTCCTGAGTTGAAATGACCAGGACTGTGTTTGCCTTCCTCTGCCTTTCAGTAAATAAAGAATTAAAAAAAAAAAAAATACACCATAAACCAACAAGCATATAATAAAATAACCAGAATAATCTGGAGCAGCCTTTCTCAACCTTTTCAACACACAGGAACCTTTGGAATAACTTTCTGGTATCAGGAAACCCCTAATTACTACAAATGATACATTAGTGGGATAGTCATTGCAAAGAATTACTACCTTACAGATAGCTGAAAAGATCATTGGTGTCAATGGATTTTATCTGAGAGGCAGAAAGTGTTCATTGCTCAAATTACCATCACTCATCGAACCCCTAGCCACTCTGGAGGAACCTCAGGGTTCCATGGAACTCTGATTGAGAAACCCTGATCTAGAGGTTGGATTAAAATTTAAAGAAATAAAAATACTTTCAATAATTAAATATTAGATTTTTTCCGTACAGATCTCCTTATCAGGCCTAAAGGAAGGAAAACTGAAGAATGAGAATCGGGATATTTGATAGGGACTTTTCCTCCAAAAAAAGGAATACTTGGAATCTGTGTAAACATGGTACGACTACTACAATTTCAGATATCCCAACAATAAAATGTAATCCTTCTAGTTCTTTTCTTTCTTATAGTTTAAATAACAGAATGTGCTTAAAGTGGAGTTCCACCTAAAAAAAAGGGAAGCTTCACTTGTCTGCCTCCCCCCCCCCTTCACTGCCAAATTTGGTACTTTTTTTTTGGGGGGGGGGGGGAGAGCGGGTACCTGGTTTTGAAGTCTGGCCCTACCTCTTTCCCCCCCGCAGTCTTCTGGGACACTTCACAGGTCCTAGAAGATTGCCGGACCAATTCAGGAAGCACAGTGCGACTCACGCATGAGCAGTGGGCACCCATCTATGAAGCTGCAAGCTGTCACAGCCTAGGGTTGAGATGCTGGTGCCACGGGGAGAAGAGGGAGAGAAGAAGGAGAGAAGGGACGGTGCGGGTGAGTACATTGCTGGATCCTGGAACAGGTGAGTGTGTGTCTATTAAAAGTTAGCAGCTACAGTTTTGTAGCTGCTGACTTTTAATAAACACAAAAATGACTGGAACACCTCTTTAAAAATCTTGAGTTGGAAATGGACATTCCATTATAAGATATGCTGAAAAGTGGATGATTAAAGTGACTCTGTTGCTAGATGAACAATTAAAAGAGTGCTGCCTGTACAGAAAAGACTTCATACTTACCTGTCCAACCTCCGGCACTTTGGGTCTTCACTTTTGCAGAGCTATGCTGGCTGCAGATTCGTCATCAACCAACACTGCTGGGAGTTTCAGATGCCTGGTGATCCTCAACAATCTGTGGCTCCATCCACCAACCTCTATATCACTTTTGGACACAGTATTAGATTGACAGCTCAGGAAGTGTATTAGATGAAGAAAATTCTTTGATCGACGTAGGTTGTTTTTTAGCATAGTGAAGACCGGAGGCACAACTGGAAGGACAGTCTTTCCTTACAGGAAGCATTATTTTTTATACACTGCACAAAAAAATTAAAGGAATACTTTTTAATCAGAGTATAGCATCAAGTCAATTAAACTCCTGGAATATTGATCTGGTCAGTTAAGTAGCAGAGGGGGTTGTTAATCAGTTTCAGCTGCTTTTGATGTTAATGAAATTAACAACAGGTGCACTAGATGGGCAACAATGAGACGGCCCCCAAGACAGGAATGGGTTTAAAGGTGGAGGCCACTGATCATTTTTCCCTACTCATCTTTTCTGACTGTTTTTCACTAGTTTTGCATTTGGCTAGGGTCAGTGTCTCTACTGCTAGCATGAGGCGATACCTTGTTCCTACAGAGGTAGCACAGGCAGTCCAACTCCTCCAGGATGGCACATCAATATGTGCCATTGCCAGAAGGTTTGCTGCTGTGTCTCCCAGCACAGTCTCAAAAGCATGGAGGAGATTCCAGGAGACAGGAAGTTACTCTAGGAGAGCTGGACAGGGCCGTAGAAGGTCCTTATTCCATCAGCAGGAACAGTATCTTCTCCTTTGTGCAAGGAGGAAAAGATGAGCAGTGCCATAGCCCTACAAAATGACCTCCAGCAGGCCACTGGTGTGAATGTCTCTGACCAAACAATCACAAACAGACTTCATGAGGGTGGCCTGAGGACCTGATGTCCTCTAGTGGCCCTGTACTCACTGCCTGGCACCACAGAGCTCAATTGACATTTGCCATTGAACACCAGAAATGGCAGGTCCACCACTGGCGCTCTGTGCTTTTCACAGATGAGAGCAGGTTCATCCTGAGCCCATGTGACAGACATGAAAGGGTCTGGAGAAGCCGTGGAGATCATTATGCTGCCTGTAACATCGTTCAGCATGACCGTTTTAATGGTGGGTTAGTGATGGTCTGGGGAGGCATATCCATGGAGGGATGCACATACCTCTACAGGCTAGACAATGGCACCCTGCCTGCCATTAGGTATCGGGATGAAATCCTTGGACCCATTGACAGACCCTTCACTGGTGCCGTGGGTCCTAGGTTCCTCCTGCACGACAATGCCCAGCCTCATGTGGCGAGAGTATGCAGGCAGTTCCTGGAGGATGAAGGAATTGATACCATTGAATGGCCCCCCACGCTCGCCTGACTTAAATCCAATAGAACACCTCTGGGATATCATGTTTCGGTCCATCTGACGCCACCAGATTGCACCTCAGACTGTCCAGGAGCTCAGTTATGCCCTGGTCCAGATTTGGGAGGAAATACCCCAGGACACCATCCGTCATCTCATTAGGAGCATGACATTGTCAGGCATGCATACAAGCACATGAGAGCGATAGAAACTAATGAGTACCATTCTGAGTTGCTGCAGTGAAATTTCAGCAAAATGGACTAGCCTGCTGCATCATTTTTTCACTTTGATTTTTGGGGTGTCTTTGAATTCAGTCCTCTGTAGGTTGATCATTTTCATTTCCATCAAACAATGGGGCATCCTTACATTCCTAACACATTACCCAGTCCATATCAGTATAGATATCCAGCATGAGATTTTTCCCCATTGAGATCTGATGTGTTTTCAAAGTGTTCCTTTATTTATTTTGAGCAGTGTATTATAAACAGAGTAATTTTAGAGTAAACAATAACACCTCTACAAATGAATGGATATCATAAAGTCCCTGAGATGTGTGGTCCTTGCAATTGGTAAGTACCCCCGTAGTAGCCATAAGCCTTCTGTGGCTTAAATACAAATTTCTTGAAGTCAGAGCATAATC